CTGAATGCTTTCCAAAAATTCTATATCCATTCTGTAATACGGTGACCAGAACTGAACTGCGTAATCCTAGTAAGGTCTCACAAGTGCAAGATATAGTTTTAGGATGACCTCGTAGGTCTTGTAACTAACACTCCTTTGTGTGAACCCAAGTACTTTGTTAGCCTTGTTTCGAGTAAATACACATTGTTGTGTTGGTTTAAGATTCATACTTACCATTACTCCTAAATCTTTCTCACAGTCGAATTTCTCTATAAGAATGTTGTTCATCTGATACCTGGTTTCTCTATTTACATTTTGTAGACAAGTACAGTACTTTACATTTGCCCACATTAAATTTCACCTGCCATTATTCAGAAAATGCGAAAAATTTCAGGCCATGACAAGGATCCCTTCCTTCGACCTAATACGTTCAATAACTGTCGTCAACTTATCAAGAAGCTCCTCACTCCTACACCAGCCAATATCATTGGCTCCTGCACTCAGGCAGATAAGGGGTTTGTTCCCATTACCAGACAAGATATTGTCCATCCTGTCAACTATATCCCCCACTCAAGCTACTGACAAATACACTTTCATTCTAGTTATTCTGATTTTAACAGAAAGCTCTATCCAGGTACCGTACCTGGGAATCGCCAACAATTAAGGTTTTAATACCTTCCTTGTCAGCCTTGTCCTTCACTATGTTCCCGTTCAGTTCGTCCACCAAAGGACTAAAAGAGTTAGTACACTTAGCTGTAGTCTTTCCTTTGTCCTTCTTCACCATCAGTTTGGTCGTTCCTCTCATCACAACCCTCCACTCGCTTGTGTCTTCGTCAGACTCTCCCTGTCTCTTTTCTTCCTCCTTCATTCACTTCCTTTAATTTCAAGTTTTCGTCCTTGACCTTCACTAACTCGGCCCTCAGCAGGACACAGGGCTGCTCACAACTAACACTGGCCATTGTACTGACAGTTAATCCCCGTGACCTTTCCTCCAGCAGGGTCAACACACAACTGTGTAGAGACGGGTTAGGGTAGAGACGGGTTAGGGTAGAGACGGGTTAGGATAGAGTCGGGTTAGGGGTAGAGACGGGTTAGGGTAGAGACGGGTTAGGATAGAGTCGGGTTAGGGTAGAGACGGGTTAGGGTAGAGACGGGTTAGGGTAGAGACGGGTTAGGGTAGAGACGGGTTAGGTAGAGACGGGCATGTAGAGACGGGTTAGGGTATAGACGGGTTAGGTAGAGACGGGTAAGAGTAGAGACGGGTTAGGGTAGAGACGGGTTAGGGTAGAGACGGGTTAGGTAGAGACGAGATGGGTTAGGGTAGAGACGGGTTAGGGTAGAGACGGGTTAGGGTAGAGACGGGTTAGGGTAGAGACGGATAGTAGACGTAGGGTAGAGACGTAGAGATGGGTTAGGTAGAGACGGGTTAGGGTAGAGACGGGTTAGGGTAGAGACGTAGAGATAGGGTAGAGAGTTAGGGTAGAGACGGGTTAGTAGAGACGGGTTAGAGGTAGAGACGGGTTAGGTAGAGACGGTTAGGGTAGAGACGGGTTAGGGTAGAGACGGGTTAGGTAGAGACGGGTTAGGTAGAGACGGGTTAGGGTAGAGACGGGTTAGGGTAGACGGGTTAGGTAGAGACGGGTTAGGGGTAGAGACGGGTTAGGGGGTAGAGACGGGTTAGGGTAGAGACGGGTTAGGGGTAGAGACGGGTTAGGGGTAGAGACGGGTTAGGGTAGAGACGGGTTATAATAAAGATGGGTTAGGTTGGGTTACGGCTGGGTCTGGATTTTAACGAAGAGTCTTCTCACCTCACTCCGCCTTGACAAGTCGACTGTTGGCCGTGTTTATCTGCAAAGTTCACCGTCTGGGTTGTTGATGGTCGAGGTGGCGGCGACGGCGGGGAAATGTGGCCACCTCACATCGTTAACCCACTGTTTTGTGAACCAGTCGTCAGATACTTGAAGCTTCGGGTGACATATTTCTCATAATTGAAGATGGAAGAATATGTCTAACTGGTTCATTTAGGTTGATGCACAACAAAGCTCGAAAATAATATCAACATTATACTGAGACTACCTTAACTAGATACAATGTCACAGCACCAGTAAGGAGGTAACATTATACTGGGATTCTACCTTAATTAGATGTTGGTAGAAGATCTGTTGCTTAGTTTTGCATGATGTTGAGTGAACGTTTATAGTTAAAGTAGAATCTTAGTGTAATGTTGATGCTGTATGTCAACATTATTTGGTAGTTTATCTCAGAGTGTGTATAGAAGGGTGCTCTCTCTCTCTCTCTCTCTCTCTCTCTCAACAAGTGAGAGTTCTGCTGTGTAACTTCCTTCATTCACAGGTGTCTTGTTAGCCGAGTTGGTGTGTGTGTGTGTGTATGTGTGTGTACGATCACGATAGACTCCCAGAATCCAGAGGCGGATGGAAGTTTTGGCTGAAATATTCCGACTCAGAGCGCAAGAGGCACTCGGTAAAATGCCTTACCAAGGACTCATGCTGGCAGTTTTCCGGGACGATAATGGTGTTGTGAATTCCTCCCATTAAGTCTTGCCATTACACCGAGACTCTGGAGTGACTCAAGGCACAAATTGAAGAGTTAGCCGCGACATTCAGACAATTCTCCAGCGGGCACACGTCCTCACACGAGTATGTGTGTGGAGAGAGAGGAGGGATATTGAGGATGACCCGCTGTCTCATGCCATTCGTGTGACACTCGACAACAACTGCACGGATTGCCTGTGATGAGTTGATACAAAAATTAAGACACTGGTTCATCTAGAGTTCAGTTGTACCGGTCTATAAATCCGGAATTTGCTGTACGCAAGGAGATAGAGCGCTTATCATGGACACGAGTACGAGTAACCTTGCCCACTCCCTCACTGGAACAGGCGCGGTAGAGGCCACTTGCCGATATAAGAACGACTGTGTACATGTGGTGAGATTCAGACTGAAAGGCATGTCTTTGAAGAGTGTCGTCCCACATCACAACACTAGAAAACTTGTTCATTGAAAGGCCTGGCCATCAAATTGTATGGAGTGCCATCCATTCTAGACTTGCCTTGTATGTTTAAGTATGAATAAACTTACGTGATAGTTTTCCTAGTATCAGGTGTATGTACTACGATTTCCTAGTTGTGTATTTTAGTGTCTGTGTTATTTGTATTCGTATGTAGTTAGTTAACTGTATTTTAATTTACTGTTTTACTGTTGAACATTTTAGCCATGGACCATAATGTATATTGTTTATATTCATGAAGCAGTTATTTTTGTGGTTAATAAAATATCTATCTATCTATACGTGTTTCTAACTACCCAGGAGCGAACTGGTAGGAATGATTTTAAATTCGACTAAACTATATTTATTTTGTTGTTAAAACGTTTATAACGGCACTTCAACACTAAGGTCTTTAAGCGTCTACTGTAACTAGGTGAAGCAATTACACTATTTCATCAACAATTATAACAGAGATAAAACACTAGAGGTAAATTTAGATGTAGACGATAACTATGCAAACATTGGTTAGAGTAGTGGAGGAGTGGAACAAGTTACCAAACATCATCATTCACTCGAACACTCTGGGAAACTTCAAGTATAGGCTGAACGGATGCATGAGAGTTAGGTATAAACAGGACTCCCTAGTGTGAACCATCAGACTAGTAGCAGTTTCCTTTATTCTCGTGATCTCTGTCAGTCTTCTGTGTCATTATCCGTATAACAGTCGACTACACCTCTATTGGCCTCCCAGTTGCCTCTTAACAGGGGAAACACACGGTGCATGAAACTCAGCCTTGGTTACCCTAGACTACTGGACCAAACGGAAGCCATGTAGCGTGAGGGACTGCTGCTGCTCCCCGTCTGCGATCGAATTACAGCTCTCGACGCCGTCCTTTGTGTCAAAATTCTCTGCGGTGAGCGACTAACACTTCTGCAGCACTCACACAGTCCCTCCTCCGTCCCCCAAGTGCTGTCATCCACCCCCTCCGAGTATACATAAACGACATAGTCCACTCCAGCACACTCATAAAATACAACTTATTTACAGACGATAGTAATCTATGCCAGCAACACAGACCTCCATTCCTTGATGAGAATTATGAACACTGAATTGACTAAAGACAGGACCTGGGTAATACGTAATAAACTGACCTGAAACCTTGAGAAAACTCACTACACGATCTTTCACAAAAAAGAAAAAACTTACCCCCAGACCTGGACCCCCTGTACCTTGGTAATACAGTCCTCAAACGTGAACAAAATACTAAATTCCTCGGAGTTATTGTTGATGAGAAACTTAACTGGAGAAACCACATACAAGCCATTCACAATAACGTCAATAAACTGTGCGGTATCATGTATCACACTCGACAGTCACTACTCACAGCAATGAAAGAAATCTATCATGATCTTGTTTACCAACACTTGATACACTGTCACACACTATGGGGCTCCTCTGGCTCTACAAAAACACAATGACCTACTTGAAAAAAAATATTATCACACTAACGAACAATTTGCTAAATTGAAAATGTTAAAGTTCGAGGATATTAACATCTACTGCTGTGCCCTCTTTGTTTATAAATCTGTAAATCAGTCCTGGTAGGTAGCGACAGTCCTGGTAGGTAGCGACAGTCCTGGTAGGTAGCGACAGTCCTGGTAAGTAGTAACAATCCTGGTAGGTAGTAACAATCCTGGTAGGTAGCGACAGTCCTGGTAGGTAGCGACAGTCCTGGTAGGTAGCGACAGTCCTGGTAGGTAGTAACAAGTAATAGTCTTGGTAAGTAGTAACAGTCCTGGTAGGTAGCGACAGTCCTGGTAGGTAGTAACAGTCCTGGGTCCACCTAACCTTTCCTCATTAATTATACAGCACAGAGAGTTGGATGTACCGGACAGAACCAAGAGTTGGATGTACCGGACAGAACATTCGTCCAGGATAGTTACTCAAATAATCCTATGTACACAAATAAATAAAGAGATACAAATAAGGTTGAGAGAGTATTAAGTGTACCGACCTTGCCCAACATGCAGAGCTCCCGCCACAATAATAATAACAAGAGCGACGAGCTTGGCCGCCGTGAACACCGTTTGTATCCTCATGGAGAGCCGGACGCTGACGCAGTTCACCAACGTCAACATACCTGTCAGAAACACCTATATTAGTACACAAGCGTTAACGTCAATCTTTCTTCTAAAATATCCTGTTTCAAGACGGAAGGACAGAGAGACAGACAGACAGACAAACAACACTTATTATTAAAGGAAAATTAAACAATTACACATTTTCTGTTTCTTAATGGAAAAAACAAGACACAATCTGTAACTGTTACCGCAAGCGGTACATAATTATGATGACATATAAACAAATGTTATGTTAGGCTGTAACTCATGTCATGTTTAGTGCGTGCCGCCCGTGCGTGTACTGTAGAGTGTTGAGGATGAGGCCCAGGAGGCGTGCCGCCCGTGTGTACTGTAGAGTGTTGAGATGAGAGGCCCAGGAGGCGTGCCGCCCGTGTGTACCGCTGTAGAGTGCTGGAGATGAGAGGGGCCCAGGAGGCGTGCTGCCCGTGTGTACTGTAGTGTGTTGAGATGAGAGGCCCAGGAGGTGTGCCGCCCGTGTGTACTGTAGGAGTGCTGAGATGAGAGGCCCAGGAGGTGCTGCCCGTGTGTACTGTGAGTGCTGATGAGAGGCCCAGGAGGCGTGCCGCCCGTGCGTACTGTGTAGAGGCTGAGATGAGAGGCCCAGGAGGCGCCGCCCGTGTGTGTACTGTAGAGTGTTGAGATGAGGCCCCAGAGTGCCGCCCGTGTGTACCGGGTGAGTGTTGAGATGAGAGGGCCCAGGAGGCGTGTGCCGCCCGTGTGTACTGTGAGTTGAGAGCGAGAGGCCTGGTGAGGGCGTGCCGCCCGCGTGTACTGTAGAGTGTTGAGATGAGAGGCCCAGAGGCGTGCCGCCCGTGTACTGTAGAGGTTGAGATGAGAGTACCCAGGAGGTGTGCTGCCCGTGTGTACTGTAGAGTGCTGGAGATGAGAGGCCCAGGAGGGGCGTGCTGCCCGTGTGTACTGGGTAGAGTGTTGGAGAGATGAGAGGCCCAGGAGGCGTGCCGCCCGTGTGTACTGTAGAGTGTTGAGATGAGAGGCCCAGGAGGCGTGCCGCCGTGTGTACTGTAGAGTGTTGAGATGAGAGGGCCCAGGAGGCGTGCTGCCCGTGTGTGTGTACTGTAGAGTGCTGAGAGATGAGAGGCCCAGGAGGCGTGCCGCCCGTGTGTACTGTAGAGTGTTGAGATGAGAGGCCCAGGAGGCGTGCTGCCCGTGTACTGTAGTGTGCTGGAGATGAGAGGCCCAGGAGGCGTGCCGCCCGTGTGTACTGTAGAGTGTTGGAGATGAGAGGCCCAGGAGGCGTGCCGCCCGTGTGTACTGTAGAGTGTTGAGATGAGAGGGCCCAGGAGGCGTGCCTGCCTCGTGTGTACTGTAGTGTGTTGAGATGAGAGGCCTGTGTGGAGGCGTGCCGCCCGTGTGTACTGTAGAGTGTTGAGATGAGAGGCCCAGGAGGCGTGCCGCCCGTGTGTACTGTGGTAGTGTGTTGAGATGAGAGGGCCCAGAGGCGTGCTGCCCGTGTACTCGTAGAGAGTGTTGAGATGAGGCTCCAGGAGGCCGCCTGTGTACTGTAGAGTGCTGAGATGAGAGGCTCCAGGAGGCGTGCCGCCCGTGTGTACTGTAGAGTGTTGAGATGAGAGGCCCAGGAGGCGTGCCGCCCGTGTGTACTGTAGAGTGTTGGGAGATGAGAGGCCCAGGAGGCGTGCCTGCCCGTGTGTACTCGTAGAGTGTTGAGATGAGAGGCCCAGGAGGCGTGTCGCGGTACTGTAGAGCGTTGAGATGAGAGGCCCAGGAGGGTGCCCCGTGTACTGTAGAGTGTTGGAGATGAGAGGCCCAGGAGGCGTGCTGCCCGTGTACTGTGTAGAGTGTTGGAGATGAGAGGCTCCAGGAGGCGTGCCGCCCGTGTACTGTAGAGTTGGAGATGAGAGGCCCAGGAGAGGCGTGCTGCCCGTGTGTACTGTAGAGTGTTGAGAGATGAGAGGCCCAGGAGGCGTGCCTGCCCGTGTGTGTACTGTAGAGTGCTGGAGATGAGAGTCTAGGAGGCGTGTGCCTCGCCCGTGTGTACTGTAGAAGTGTTGAGATGAGAGGGCTCCAGGAGGCGCCGCCCGTGTACTGTAGAGTGTTGAGATGAGAGGCTCCAGGAGGCGTGCCGTGTGTACTCTTGCAGAGTGCTGAGACAGAGGCCTGTGAGGCGCTGCCGCCTGTGTGTACTGTGGTGAGGTTGAGACAGAGAGGCCTGCGGAGGCGTGCTGCCCGTGCACTGTGGTGAGTGCTGAGACAGGCCCAGGAGGCGTGCCTGCCCGCAGGTACTGTAGTGTGTTGAGATGAGAGGCCCAGGAGGCGTGCCTGCCCGTGTGTACTGTAGAGTGTTGAGATGAGAGGCCCCGTGAGGCGTTCCTGCCCTCGTGTGTACTGTGTGCTGGAGACAGAGGCCCAGGAGGCGCTCTGCCTGTGTGTGTACTGTAGGAGTGTTGAGATGAGAGGGCCCAGGAGTGCCTGCCCGTGTGTACTGTAGAGTGTTGAGATGAGTTCCAGGAGGCGTGCCTGCCATGTGTACTGTAGAGTGTTGAGATGAGAGGGCCCAGGAGGCGTGCCTGCCCGTGTGTACTGTAGAGCAAGGTTGAGATGAGAGGCCCAGGAGGCGTCAGCCTGTGTACTGTAGAGTGTTGAGATGAGAGGCCCAGGAGGCGCCGTCCGCAGGTACTGTAGTGTGTTGTGAGATAGAGGCCCAGGAGGCGTGTCGTGTGTACTGTGGTAGAGTGTTGAGATGAGAGGCCCAGAGTGCCGCCTCGTGTGTACTGTAGAGTGTTGAGATGAGAGGCTCCAGGAGGCGTGCCGCCCCGTGTACCAGAGTGTTGAGATGAGAGGGCCTAGAGGCGCAAGCCTGTGTGTGTACTGTAGAGTGTTGGAGATGAGAGGCCCAGGAGGTGCCCGTGTGTACTGTAGAGTGTTGAGATGAGAGGCCCAGGAGGCGCAAGGCCCTAAAAATTGTAGAGTGTTGAGATGAGAGGTCTGTGAGGCGTGCCGCCTGTGTGTACTGCTGTAGAGTGTTGAGATGAGAGGCTCCAGGAGGCGCTGCCTGTGTGTACTGTAGAGCTGGAGATGAGAGTACCCAGGAGGTGCGCCTGTGTGGGTACCTGTAGTGTGTTGAGATGAGAGGCCCAGGAGGCGGCTGCCTCGTGTGTACTGTAGAGTGTTGAGATGAGAGGCCCAGGAGGGCGTGGCCTGCGGTGTACTGTAGAGGTTGAGATGAGAGGCCCAGGAGGCGTGCCGCCCCAAGGTACTGTAGAGTGTTGGAGATGAGAGGCTCCAGAGGCGCGGCCGCCCGTGTGTACTGTAGAGTGTTGAGATGAGAGGGCTCCAGAGGCGTACGCCTCGTGTGTACTGTGTAGAGCAAGCAGAGATGAGAGGCCCAGGAGGTGCTGCCCGTGTGTACTCGTAGAGGTTGAGAGATGAGGCCCAGGAGGGGTGTGCTTCACCCGTGTACGTGTAGAGTGCTGAGATGAGAGGCAGCCCAGGAGGCGTGCTGCCCGTGTGTGTACTGTAGAGTGTTAGAAGTAGGAGTCTTGTAGCTGCCCGTGGTACTGTAGAGTGTTGAGATGAGAGGCTCCAGGAGGCGGCGCCTGTGTACTGTAGAGTGTTGAGATGAGGCCCAGGAGGCGTGCCGCCCGTGTGTGTACTGTAGAGTGTTGGAGATGAGAGGTGGCCCAGAGGCAAAAGGCCCGTGTGTACTAGAGTGTTGAGATGAGAGGCCCAGGAGGCGCGTGTCACTGCAGGTACTGTAGAGTGTTGAGATGAGAGGCCCAGGAGGCGTGCTCGTGTGTACTGTAGAGTGCTGAGATGAGAGGGCCCAGGAGGCGTGCCGCCTGCGGTGTACTGCTGTGGTGAGTGCTGAGATGAGAGGCCCAGGAGGTGTGCTGCTCAAAAGTGTACTGGGGAGTGTTGAGATGAGAGGCCCAGGAGGCGTGCCGCCCGTGTGTACGTAGAGTGCAGATGAGAGGGCTCCAGGAGGCGTGCCGCCCAAAATGCAGAGCTGAGATGAGAGGCCCAGGAGGCGCCTGCCTGTAGTACTGTGAGCAAGCTGAGATGAGAGGCCCAGAGGCGTGCCGCCCGTGTGTACTGTAGAGCTGAGATTGAGAGGCCCAGGAGGGTGCGCCGCCTGTACTGTAGGAGTGTTGAGATGAGAGGGCTCCAGGGAGGGGCGCGGCTTTGCCCGTGTACTGTAGTGTTGAGATGAGAGGCCCAGGAGGCGCCGCCCGTGCGTAATGTAGAGTAAGCAGACAGAGGGCCCAGGAGGCGTGCCGCCCGTGTGTACTGTAGAGTGTTGAGATGAGAGGCCCAGGAGGGGCGTGCCGCCTCGCGGTGTACTGTAGAGTGTTGAGATGAGAGGCCCAGGAGGGGCGTGTCAGCCTCGTGTACTGTAGAGTGTTGAGATGAGAGGCCCAGGAGGCGTGCCGCCCGTGTGTACTGTAGAGTGTTGGAGATAGAGGTTCAGGAGGCGTGCCGCCCGTGTGTACTGTAGAGTGTGCTGGAGATGAGAGGCCCAGAGGCGTGCCGCCCGTGTGTACTGTAGGAGTGTTGAGATGAGAGGCCCAGGAGGCGCGCCCCGGTGTACTGTAGAGGTTTATATTTTTAGAGCTCATAGGCGTGCCGCCCGTGTGTGTCACTGTAGGAGTGTTGGAGATGAGAGGTACCCAGGAGGCGTGTCACTCGTGTGTACTGTAGTGTGTTGAGATGAGAGGCTCCAGAGTGCTGCCCGTGTACTGTAGAGTGTTGAGATGAGAGGCCCAGGAGGCGTGCCGCCCGTGTGTACTGTAGAGTGTTGAGATGAGAGGCTCCAGGAGGCGTGCCCGTGTGTACTGTAGAGTGTTGGAGATGAGAGGCTCCAGGAGGCGTGCCGCCCGTGTGTGTACTGTAGTGTGTGTTGAGATGAGAGGGCTCCAGGAGGCGTGCCGCCCGTGTGTACTGTAGAGTGTTGAGATGAGAGGGCCCAGGAGGCGTGCTGCCCGTGTGTGTACTGTAGAGTGTTGGAGATGAGAGCCCAGGAGGCGTGCTGCCCGTGTGTACTGTAGAGCAGA